AGCGCCTCTTCAACACCCTGCAGCTGTAAGGGTCGCCCTCGCCCCCTCCTCACCTTGGCCCTCACGCCCTCCTCACCCTCACCTTTGCACCCTCCTCACCTTCACCCTCTTCTTCCTCTCTGGCAGGGACGAGGGCCGGGCCCAGCGCTGCAGCCAGGTGCTGCTGGATGCCCCCATCCAGCTCTCTCAGATCACCGATGGATACGGTGAGTGGCGCCCGCAGGGGACCCCCAGCTACGCGTCGTTGTCCACCCTGCAGCTCCCATCCTGCAGTTGGGGTGCTGGCAGTGAGGACAGGATGGGGTGTTAACCATGCACTTGCCTGACCTTGGGGAGCGGTTCTCCCCCGTCCCTGCGTGCCTCAGGCTCCTCCTTGGACTCCTGTTTCTCTGCCTGCTGCTGAGCTTTGGCCAGGGCAAGCTGGGGTGGGAGGAGAGGAGCCACCCTTCAGCCTCCTCGTCCTCTTGGGAGCGGGAGCAGTCGTGCCTGGTCATGGGCAGCCACTGGGGCAGCGCTTGGTGGAGCCTCCGTGGAGCACGCGCTCACCAACCCAACCGTGTCATTGCAGCCGACACCAGTGCGGAGCTGCTGCCGGGGCTGTTGCTGAAGAGAGGACAGACCTCGGTAAGTGGGGGGCCGTAAGCCAGCACGTGTTGGGGGACAACTGACGCACAGGGCTGTGGGTGCTCTGCACTGCTCCGCTCTGGTCACCTCTCCCTCAGAGAGCAGCTGGGACAGGCAGTGGTGGTTTGGGGCACAGCTGCAGGGGGTGCTGCTCCTCCTCATTAGGTTCACTGTAACTTAGGAAACTTTTAAACCTTGGTCTGGTGAAGAGGCTCAATAGGAGATAGCAGCTTAAATTGACAAGCTCTATTTTGCCATAGTTTCTTAATGAGCTTCAAAACGTGGTTGGTGGGCCTTTGGCTTCTACAGCAAGGCCTTTGATTGAGGGATCAGGGTGTCCCGGGATGATGCCTTGCCATGTTCAGTGAGAGAGAAAATCCTGGTTAATCGTTGGATGTTGGATGTTGCACAGTTAGCACAGACCAGATGTTCTCCAGAGAGCTACTATGGGGATGTCATTAAGTCCAGCTTTAGAAAGGATTGTGGGTTGTTCTGGTTTGAGAAATAAGATGAGGAGTGGAGAAGTCTGGGAGCGGTTACGCTTCGTGACCTGGAGGCAACTGGACCATCTTTCCCAAAGACACGAGTAGCCGCTCAGGAGCGACTCGGCTTGGCCGCTGTGTCGAATGTGCCAGAATTCGAGTTCGGGGAGAGGTGTGGTTGTGCATCTGCAAAGCAAGGACGGTGGTAGCTGGGCAGGGTGGGCAGTCTCTGTGCCAGGCCGGTCTCTCGTAAAGCTCTCTCTCCCTGGGTAACGCGTTGAAGACGGGAACCCCTCACGTGGAGGCTGAGACCTAACGTGGTCAACGTGATCCCTGCGTGTCTGAATGGGCGTCTTGAGTGAAAGCTGGCAGCTGTTGCTGGTTTTGGCATGGGAGTTGTTGCTGCTGGGTTTGCTCTCTGGCTCTCGTGTCTGCAACTCAAAAAGGATCTTCAGAAAAATTGGAGACGATTCAGAGATGGCCTCGGGAGGCCTCTCAGGTTCTGGAGGACACATCTTGGTGGGAGATTCGGGGAGCTCGGTGTAGTTTACAGAGTGACTCAGTCTGTAGGTACGGGGTCACAGCACCAGTAACAAGATGCTCTTCAGTCCAGCACGCAGGTCTGTAATGTGCTCTGGTGGCTGCAGGGGTGCCTGGAAATATCTGGGAGTGTCCTTGGTCAGCCACAAATATTTGACTTCAAGCAGGAGTTGAGCTGCAGTGGGCTGAGAGCCTGGCTGAGACTCGAGGCCAGCTTAAAACACTGGCTCCTTCTTGCCTTCAGGTTTAATTAAACACTTTTTGTCTCTGTCTTGATTGATCGACCGTGTAGGCTGAGGTTGTTCCAAACCGGCTAAAGTTTAACGTGCCTCGTGCTCCAGGGCGAGGGCGGGTGCAGGGGTAGGCGTTGGGATCAGCACTGCTGCTGTTGAAGTGCCTTGGCAGAGCCAGGTCTCTGGAAATGGAGAAACTGCCCGTACGTTAGGGTCAGCCAAACCCTTCGCCTCGCTGAGGCAGAAATGTTGTGTATGAGCAGTTGGTTTAGGACTTCATTCCTGAAGTGACTTCCTGGGTTGATTAGCTTCCTCAGAACGCGCTTGGATCTGTCCCAGTGCCCCTGTCCTACCTCCCTCCTGCCCTCTCACCCTTCCTTGCGGCAATGAGGGGTTGACTGATCTCCTTTCTCTTGAAATTCACATTTTGGGGCATTCACTGAAGATGCTCTCCTTTAATATCTCTGCTTTGTGCCCCAGATGGTGAACGCGAAGAAACTGGAGAAGGCGGAAGCCAGGCTGAAAGCCAAGCAGGACAAGAGGATGGAGCGGGATTCCCTGAAGTCATCTGGTCCGCTGTGAGCAAGGAGGGCGCCTCAAATGTCCCCATCCCATTCTGCTGAGCGTGGCTGGGATCTGTCTGTACCAGAGCTTTCCTGTTGAGCCCCCTTCTCTGCCTTCTGCCCGCTTGCAGGGTCCTTGAGGAGGCGTCTGCCAGCCAAGCTGCCAGCAAGAAGGAGAATCGCATGGAGTCGTCAGGCAAGAACAAGTCGTATGATGTGCGCATCGAGAACTTCGATGTGTCCTTCGGTGAGCGGTGAGTGCCGGTGGGAAGCGGGACCGTGGGGTGTTGAGACTGGACTGGAGAGTGGCTGGGAAATGACAGGGCACGGGAAAGATCAGAAAGCAAAGTGTGCCCCTGACCCTGTCAGCTTTGAGCAGGAGAAGTCTGCGATGGCCCCAGCATGGCCTGAAATGTGCTTGGAGCAGGTACCTCCTGGTTGTTTCAGTCGCCATGGGGCAGCTTGACCAGGTCCCTGCCTGTTCTCTCGCTTCAGCGTCCTCCTGGCAGGAGCAGACCTGAACCTGGCGTTCGGACGGCGCTATGGGCTGGTGGGCAGGAACGGGCTGGGGAAGACCACGCTGCTGAAGATGATCGCCAGCCGGAGCCTGCGCATCCCCTCGCACATCAGCATCCTCCACGTGGAGCAGGAGGTGGCAGGGGACGAGACGGCAGCGCTGCAGAGTGTGCTGGAGTGCGACACCACGCGCGAGAGCCTGCTGCGGGAGGAGAGGGATCTGACAGCCAGGATTAACGCTGGCAGGTGAGGTGTTGCCAGGTGTTTCCAGCCCTTCTATGGCTTCTCGACGGCGAGGTCTTGTTCTGAGCTCCCTCTCTTCAAATGGAGGGCTCCAGCGGGGCTGGGCTGCACCTTGCCAAACCTTAGCCCTCCCTGGGGAGAGCAGCCTCCCCCACCACTCAAACCCTGTCCCTGGTCAGTCCCACACACATTCCTCTTTGTGTCCCAGGGGAGAAGGGACGGAGGGTGCCCGGCTATCGGAGATCTATGCGAAGCTGGAGGAGATTGAGGCAGACAAGGCGCCGGCGAGGTGAGACAGCCCCATGGGCACCACTGTTGTTTGTGCAGGGCAGGGTGGTGCTGTGGCTCTGGGATCCAGCACATGGGGATGAGGGGCTCTCCCTGCTGCTGCTCTTGTCTCTTCTGTGACAGCTCTGCTGAGTTAGGAGCAGTCAAGCTTCCCCCTGAAGCAGGAGTGGGGCTGGGGGGGTTTGCCCCAAATAGCTTGTATTGTTGCTGCTCCTCTTGGATCTCCCCAGGTTCCTGGTGCCTGAGGAGCATTTCTGGGATGGTGGTAGTGACTCTCTTCATGGTCAAAGAGCTGAAAACTTATTGTAAATCTCCTGGCAATTCTTGTGGATGCTGTGCCCTGCTGGGCTGCATTTCCCAGCCAAGCGCTGCCCTTGGGTGCCCAGGGAAGTTTTCCTGTGCCAGAACGGCTTTAAACCACGCAGCAGAGTCTCCTCGGTGGCCGTGGGCCCAAGACCTCAGGCTGTGCTCTAGCTGGACTCCAGTTATCTCCCCTTTTCCCCAGGGCATCTGTCATTCTCGCCGGGCTGGGCTTTAATGCAAAGATGCAACAACAGACGACCAAGTAAGTCTCAAAGCTCTGGGCATCGAGGCAGAAATGGGGACAGCTTGTTCCTAGCGAGCTCCCAGGCACTGTGGTGCCTATAAGGGATGAGGGGGTCCTGTGGGAGGGTGAGGGTCCTTTCCTGCCCTTCTGATGCCATCTCATGCCAAGCCGCCTGCCTGCTGGACCACAGAGCCTGTCTGTGCCCGCGATCTCTGCAGGGTCAAGGTGTCTCGGTGACTGCAGAGCCGAAAGGGCCATGAGGGAGCAGGGAGGCAAAGGCAGAGTTGTTCTGCCACTGTTGAACAGTAATCCCTCTCTGCAACCTCTTCTCTCCTCAGAGAGTTTTCTGGAGGCTGGAGAATGAGACTGGCCTTGGCCAGAGCCCTGTTTGCCAGGTTGGTGTCCATGTTCATGCCGCGGGATTAACCCTCCTTGCTGTGTGCTGTGAGGTGCAGCGGTGCTGCCTGGGGTCCTCTGGACTCAGGCTCTCAGGGTGGGGAGCACGGGAGGCATCACAGCTCTGTGTGTGGTGAAACCTGCTCTGCACTGACCCTTTCTTGCTCCTGATACCCATGCCTTGCTTTTTGTAGGCCAGATCTCCTCCTGCTGGATGGTAAGTCAATACCGCAGGTCCCCTCCGACTGCACTGCTGGTCTGCCTGTGCCCTTGCTGGGGTTGGGAAGGCGCCATGGCCTTTAGCTGCCAGCCCAAAATAGCCCTGTGTGATGGGGCTGGGCTGGCAGTGTTCCCCTGGCACGGTTCTGGGGCAGGGAAGTCAGTTTGGGCAGCTGAGCCCTGCCCTGTGCCCCAGTCGGGGTCACCGTGCCCCAGGCAGACCCTTTCCCTCACCCAGCCCTGCGATGGGCTCTGGCTGCCAGCCCATGCTGGGGGGGTCCCTTTGCTGCAGGGGGTGACCTTGGGACTGGGCTGGCTCGCTGGGAAAGTACCCACCTTGGATGGGGGCAGGTCTGGGTGAGGGGTTGCTGCTGGGCATGGGGTCTGGGTGCCGGTTTGGAGTGTGGGGAGCATCCCTGGCGAAGCCCCAGCCCCCGAAACCAAACCCCATCACATCCTGAGTTCTCTGAGCTGTGGGGGCAGGTCACCACGCAGGGTCCATTCCTCCGAGATGCCAGTTGCTAGCCTTTAAAAAATTAAATTATTCATTATTAAAGCATAGTCTGGCCATCCTCATCCCTCCTGACCTCGGTGCCTCTTTAAAAAAACATGCTGGACGTGAGGGCCATTTTGTGGCTCGAGACCTACCTGCAGGTAGGGGGTGGCATGAAGCCCCAGGACAGAGTGAGAGCTGGGGTCTCACCTCACCGGGTGGTGGAACCGAGCCCTGCGCTGGCGTGATGATGCTCAGGCCTCCCTCTTGCTGCCTCCTCCAGACCTGGCAGTCGACCATCCTCGTGGTGTCCCACGACAGAAACTTCCTGAACGCAGTGGCCACGGACATCATCCACCTCCACTCACAGCGGCTGGACACGTACCGTGGGGACTTCGAGAACTTCATGAAGATCAAGGAGGAACGGCTGAAGAACCAGCAGCGAGAATACGAAGCCCAGCAGCAGTACCGCGAACACATCCAGGTATGGGGAGAAGCCAGTGGTGCTGGGGCACTCTTCTCCCAGCCTCGTCCCTTTCTCCAGGCTTGTGGATGTGGCTGTGTTGTTGCAGGAGGTTTGGCAACCTCCTCTGATGTTTTCTCTCTTGTAGGTTTTCATCGACCGGTTTCGCTACAACGCCAACCGGGCGTCCCAAGTGCAGAGCAAGCTCAAGCTGTTGGAGAAGCTGTGAGTGCCTGTCCTGCTCTGCTCTGGAGCTGGGTGGGGGCGGCACTCATGGAAAGAAACAGAGGTTCCCAGGGGACCTGGGTGATATGGGGGTGGTTTGGGGTTTCGTTGCTCTGCCTCTGGTCCAGAGGCTTGATGCTATATCAGGGCTTCTGGTACAGGAGCAGACCCCTGTTGGAAGGCATCTCGGTGATCTGTCTCCTCTTCTTGCAGGCCAGAGCTGAAACCTGTGGACAAGGAGTCTGAGGTCATCATGAAGTAAGTGTCCCCTCAGCCCCTGCTCGTGATCTCCTGGGTCCTGTCCCAGCTGGGACAAACACTCCATCCTGTGGGCCAGCCTTGCTCTGACAGGTCCCTACATTTAGGTTGGGTTCCCTCCTGGGGCCAAGGCTGCAGACCCATATCCCTTTCTTGTGATCATCCTTCCCGGAGGTCCTGCATCGCTGGGAGGCCCTCCCTGCCACGCCAGGGGCTGGGAGCAGGGTCTCTGGAGCTCCTGGCCATCTCTCACCTCTTGCTGCCTTCCCAGGTTCCCCGATGGCTTTGAGAAGTTCTCCCCCCCTATTCTGCAGCTGGATGAAGTAGATTTCTATTACGACCCGAGTCACTACATCTTTCGTTCCCTCTCCGTCTCCGCTGACCTGGAGTCCCGCATCTGTGTGGTACGTGGGATTGAGAATAATCGTGGCTATGAGGGACCTTGAGAGGTCCCTGCTCAAAGCAGGGCCAGCTGTGATGTTAGATCAGGTTGCTCAGGTCTTTGTCCAGTTGAATTTTGGCTGTCTAGCATCCAGGCTTTTGTCCAGTTTGAATTTTGGGTCTCACTGCAGCATTTGATAGTCCTCGTTTTGAGGAACGTTTTTTCCTAATACGAGTTAGAATTTGCAGCTTGTGTCTGTCACCCTTCATCCTTTCACGGGGCACTTCTGAGCAGCAGCTGGGTCCATCTGCTCTGTAGCCCCGTTAGCTGACGGCAGCAGCACATCATGGGGCTTCTGCTGCATTGGATGGGGCAGCGGAGAGGATGTTGTGTGCTTGCAAACAAGGCTGGGACCACGTAATCCTTAGGCTCGAGGGTTGGGGAGGGAACATCTGACACTGCCGTCCATGCTGCTCCTCAGTGATGGGAATGCAGCTTCCAGGTGGCTGGAGCCACTGCTCAGACTCCCATCCCATCCCCTGCATGATCCAAACGAGCTGAAATTCCCTGATCCTTGATCTCTGAAGCACGTTCATGTGTTTCATGTTTTCCAATGCTGCTGCTGCTTCTCTAGGTTGGGGAAAACGGAGCTGGCAAGTCGACTATGCTAAAGATCTTAATGGGAGAGCTGGCACCCGTCAGAGGGATCAGACATGCTCACAGGTAGGAAGAGCTGGGGGCCTGGGAGGAATGGTGCAGTTCTGGGCTGTGCTTTGGCTGCCCGAGTGATGGGGATGGGTCCTGCACACCCCCATATATGTCCCCCTTCCTGCAGCTGCAGCTGTGAGCGCTGTGGTTGCTGGACGCCCAATACCAGCTCCTGATCTGTCTTCTCATTCTGCAGAAACCTGAAGATCGGTTATTTCAGCCAGCACCACGTGGATCAACTGGACTTGAACATCAGTGCTGTGGAGTTGCTAGCAAGGAAGTTCCCAGGTGAGTTTGGAGATCCCAGGAGATGTGGGCCATCAAGGTCTGCTTTGCTACGCGTGGAGCAGCATTGATTTGTTCTGTCCTGGGCAGAAGGCCCTGACACATCAGTGCTTGAGGGACACTATCTGCTCTAGGTTAACTCCCCATGTCCAGCACAAGATCGGCACAGCAGCTGTGAGCAGCTGAGCTGGTTGTGCAGGGGTGGCCTGGGTCTGCAGCCCTCAGGCCGGTGTTTCACCG